ACATCCCGGGCCCGAGTCCTTGCTGGAACGCACGCACCGTGGGCCCTTGCCCCAGCTGATGGCTGGGCTTTTCACGCTCCTGTCTCCTAAGGCATAGAAGTGTCCGAGTTTCCGTGAAGTCCGAATACGTTGGCTTTCTATGTTAGGGGGTTTTGTGACTTAAGAAATCGTGTCTCCTCCAAGATCTGAGGACCCCCCGTGTTTGCGTCCGGAGGCGTTGTTTCCTGGTGCGCAGTTAGGGCTGGGACCTACCGCGGGTCGGTCTCACGCAGGTGGCGTCAGGGTGCGGTGAGGTTTCCATCTCTCAGTGCGGAAGTCCAGGTGTCCCGCCCATCAGCAAGGCCGTCCTTTCCGCAGGATGCTGAACTGGTCCATTTGTCCCCAGTGGCCATATGTGGGACAGTCGACCCCCGCCTGTGCTGGGGCACCAGAGTCTGTGGTGTCTCTGTAATGGTGCTCTGTGGGTCTGCGTGTGCCGAGGCCGGCACGCTTACCGAGGCCTCCCACGTGAGGCTCTCGCGCTGTCCCCCTTCAGCCCGGTCTCGGCTTCTCTGGCTCCCTTGTGTGGCCGAGTATGGCAGTCGGCTGTGGCTGTCCGCAGGGAGACTTGCCCAGAGTTTGGTTGGGGTCAGCTGGTGCAGAATGGCTCCGTTTCCTTAGAAATGTGGTCACCGGTAGCTGCCGCCCCCTGGGCAGTCCCGTGGTCTGTGACCGCCATTACTCCTGCCCCTTTCCCCATCTTCACGCTGTCACTCATGTCCCGGGCTCCGTGCGTGTTCCTGCTGTGTGCCTGTGGCTGCTGTCCCCGGCGCCGTGGGGCAGGGTGGTGACCGTGTGTGTTCTTGGCCGGCTCCTGACCTTGGCGTGACAGTGGCCACTGGCGTGTTGTCCGCAGGCATGATGTTAGCATTTCGTCACATGTCCGTGTGGGTCTGTTGAAGTACTGGTATGGGTTTTCTTTATGTCCGGTTGCTGTGGTGAACTGCCCTGATCCTGTGGATGTTAGGCTCCCCTCGTGCTTCTGGGGCAAGCCCCCTGGGGCCACGGGGCGCCCTGTGTGCTGTCTGTAAGGGCCCCAGCGTCCTCCTAGATGTGGGAGAGGACATGAAGCCATCTGGGCCTTCAGTTTTCTTTCTTAAGCCTAAAGGTGGAAGGAGCAGCTTCTCGGATACGACGCCTCCTCATAGGGTTTTGTGGGACCACTTCGGTTCTCTTCCCCCTTGTCGGGCTTGGTAAGACGTCATTTTCAGACTCAGACTGTTGTTGGGGTCGCTGGTAAGACCCTCCCCCTGGGCTCCGGGGCCTCCTGACGCGGGAGGACGGCCTTCTCCCCTCCCGACCATGCTGATCTGTGCTTCCCCCCGTTCCCCTCAAGCGGTCTCGCTGGGGACCGATCAGGCTGGCAGCCGTGTTCACCTCCGCAGAGCGTCCGCTCGTGCCCTCTGTCCTGTTTGCTTCCGGCCTGGCTGGAGTCCTCTCTCCCTCATTCCTTCCCTGCGACGTTTCCGGCTCCCTGTTCGTCTGCAGCTTCTTGGCGTGGAAGATCTGGCCACTGTTCCAGGCCTTCTCGTGGTGGCGTCTGCGAGGACAGCGTGGATGGCCGCGGGCTCTGCTCAGCCGGGACCCTCAAGCTCAGAGACGGCGCTTTCTCCCTTTTGTTCCGTGGCCTTCTTCACGCTTGGTTTTAAACGACTTCTGGTCTCCCAGCGCAGTTGCCGGGCCGGCCCCTGGAGCGCGCCCTCGACCAGCGCCCCTGGTGCAGGGGTCCCCCACCGCCCGGCTGCTGGGCCGCTGCTTGTCCCAGGGGCTGCGAGCCGCCTCGCCGTCCTCAGCCTCCTCCCGTCCTCGACCGTTTCTCCCTGGGCACATTCGAGCAGTCCTGGCCGTGGATTTGGGGCGATCCCTTGTCTTTGCCCCACGTCAGGGTGTATGGGCTCCCGTGCCTTGGCACTGGTGACCCAGCCTTGTGTGCTGCCGCGTCCCTCCCTTCCCCGTGCTGTGCTCCTTAGAGACCGGCCCCCGAGACCGGCGGGCTGGGGCTGTGCCACGACCGGCAGAGCCGTGGAGATGGGTCACGCTTCTCCCCCGAGTGTGGCGCTGCCCCCGCGGCCTCGCCGTCCACCTTCCTTCTGCCCCACAGTGCTCGCGCCCGTGTCCCCGCCCTCAGTTCTGTGTGCGAGTCGAGTCCTTGCTCCACAGGACTGGGGTTTCTCCCCGTGGCCTCCCGCTGTCCTTATGCTGTGTCCTTGTTCTTTCCGATGACCCTCCTGCAGGAGTCTGCGCCGCATCTGGAGGGAGAAGCCTCTGAGGCAGCTGCGAGCCTCCCTGTGGACCCCGCTGGCAGCCGCCCTCCGCCCCGAGCCCAGTGGCAAGGTCTTTATCTGTGTCTGCTCAGCCCTCCGCTTGGTTTTGAGTTTTGTTTTGTTGTGAAGTAGGCCCCACACCCAACGCGGGGCTGGGACTCAGGATGCGGAGAGCGAGACCGGAGCCGAGGTCAAGAGTCAGACGCTCCACTGACGGAGCTACCAAGAAGCCCCTAATTTTGAGTTTTATCTCATTTTTTATTTTTTTAGAACAATTAAAAAAACCATTTTTATTTATTTGAGAGAGAGTGAGAGGAAGAGAGATCGCAGAGGCAGAGGGAAGCAGGCTCCCCGCTGAGCAGAGAGCCCGACGTGGGGCTCGATCCCAGGACCCCGGGACTGTGACCTGAGCTGAAGGCAGACGCTTAAAGCCTGAGCCCCCAGGCGCCTGCTCCTGATACATTTCTGTGAACGGCATCTTTTCCGATACTCTGGAGGGCGACATGGGCTTTGAAAGTGTTTTCTGTTACTGGTGGCTTGTGGAGCCTGGAGTTTGTCTGCCTTTTCTTGCCTTTTCCCATGAAGTCGCTGATTCTCGGTGTCCCCTCTCGCGTCTGCAAATAGGCTTCTGTTGCAGGTGCCCCTGAGCCGGGCAGGGGAGTCGCTGTGACGCGTGGCCTTGCTGGGGTACCATCGTGGCCACTGCACTGGCCTGACCGTGGGGCCTGGCCAGTGTCACAAAGGTCCTCCTGGTCTGGGGTGTGGTGGGGGCTGTCCTGTGGACGGAGGGCCTGAGACGTGGGCAGTTCTGCCCGAGACCCATCTTCTGCGTGTTCCTGGCACTTTCCCAGCCCTGGCCCTGCTCTGCGCTCATTTTGCTGCCCTCGCTGTTGCCGCAGGCCCGGAGGATGCTGTCCAGCCGCTGGCTCGAGGGCAGAGACGGGCCCAGTTCTCACAGGCCGCCGGTGTTGAAGGCAGCTGTGTGCTAGCGTGCCTGCTTGTAGCGTCCCCGTTAGTCGGCCACCGGTCATGCAGGAGTTTCTATGCGTTAACGTAGTCCCACGTCCCGGGACTCTCCAGTTTGCCTGCGGGGCTTGCTGACCCCACACAGCGGACTCTCACCTGGAGCGGGTGGCTGGCGGGGCGGGGGGACTGCTGACGGGAACGGGGTCTCTTTGGGGTGATGAAATAGTCTGGATTGCGGTGAATATGCAAAAACTGCTTTTTTAAAGACTCTGTTTTAGAAGTGGAGGGTGCGGGCGCGTGCAAACACAAGCAGGGGGAGCAGCGGGGGGCGGGGAGCAGACTCTGCCCAGCAGGGAGCCTGACACAGGCCTCCACCCCAGGACCCCGGGATCATGACCTGAGCTGAAGGCAGACGCTCAACCGGCTGAGCCCCCCAGGCGCCCCTAAAATACTGAGTCGTGTACCTAAAGTGGGCAGATTTTAACAGTGTGGACTGCACACAAGAGGATGTTACAAGGTAACTTACTGCAGTAATTCCGAGCCCCCAGGCCACCAGGGAGCCCCGCTTTGTTCCAAGAACTCCCAGACCAGTGGGGAGCCTGTGCTAGGCCCCTTTCTGTCCAGTCAGGGCCGTGGCCCTAGGGACGGTGACCCCCGCCCGTGCCGGTTCAGCCGACTGCAGGCCTCCAGGCTGGACAGGGTGCTCTGCCGGGAGGGGTGCTGACCATGCGGTCCCCCGGCTGCCGGTCCCTTGGGGCGCTGGCTCCCCAGGTGCCCACCTGTGGCCGGCGGGCACTGTTCGCCGTGTGCGTGGGGCGGGCAGGCCGGGCCGAGGGAGCTGAGAAAGCCCACGGCCCCCGCCTTCCCCAGCCTGCTGTCCTTGTCAGAGGGCACCAGCCTTCTGTGGGTGACACGAGTCCCTGGCTGCTTTCCCTGGCCCAGCTCAGCGGGGCCTTTGCCCGGAGAGCATGGATCTGGGGAGCGAGAGGGTGCCGGGTGGGGTGGGGAGTCTGTATGTCGGGGTCCAGTGTGGTAGCCGGGAGTGGGGTGCGGACGGGTGCTTACAGTGCAGCTCTTGCTCTGACGTGGGTGTCTGGCTTCCTGGTTCTGTGCCGTTTGGCACGTGGCCTGCGGCGACCCTCCTGTCTACACACACAGGACGTCTGTGTCCCCCCCTCCCAGCTTCTGGGATGCGCTTACCCAGGACCGGGCGTGTGCACATCAAGTCCCGCAGTCCACTCATGTCCCAGCAGCCCCTTCCCACCCTGAATCTGCCCGGTGCTGTCCCCGCCCTTGGGGCCCCGGAGGGCTGGAGCCACAGCCCTTGGGGTGGGGGTTGGCATGGGAGCCGCTGGCCAGGATGCACGCAGGGCCCTGCTGGGAGAGCCGGGGGCCACGACCCAGGCTCCTGGGTGCCGGAGCAGGAGGCAGGCACTCAGCTGTGGGGCCGTGGCTGTCTGGCCATGTCGTCCGTCCCTGTGAGGAGGCCACGTCTGTGTGGAGCACGTGGCGATACTCAGTGGCAAGGAGTGGCTCCCGGCTGGCCGACACGCGGCTCTCTGCCGGCCCCGGAGCCGCCGGGGTGAGGAGGGGAGTGGAAGTCGTGGGCCCCTGGGCCCGCACGCGAGGCTTGGACGCCACGAGAAGTGGCCCTGCCGCCGCGGAAGGGCACGGGCCGGCGTGCGCCTCTGGTGCCGGCGGCCAGTGGTAACGTCGCGTGTTGTGTCCTAGGGAGACGCCAGATCCACCACCTGGGGAGCCAGCTGCAGCTCAACCAGCACTGCCTGGACACAGCCTTCAACTTCTTCAAGATGGCCGTGAGCAAGCACTTGACCCGCGGCCGCAGGATGGCACACGTGATCGCCGCCTGCCTCTACCTGGTGTGCCGCACTGAGGGCACCCCGCGTATCCTTTGCCTTGGGCTCCTCGTGTGGGATGGCTCTGCACGGTCGCCCGGACTGGGCTCAGTCGCGGCCGTGACCCGCAGTCTGTGTTCCCTTCTGGCCCTGGGGACGGACTGTCGCGATGGATGCTGTGGCCTCTCACCAGCTGGGAATGGGGCAGCCGGGCGCCTGGCCCCCGTGGCCACTGGGGAGGGCAGGTTGCACCCTGAGACTGGCCGCTGTCCTGCCGTCCTCCTGCCCGCACCACCGTCCGCCAGCCCTTCTTGGAGAGGATGGGGATCTGTGGCGGTTGGGCTGCCGGCCCTCTTGCACGGACCTGGCAGGCCGTCCCGTGCGCCCCCCTGGGAGAGCCTTTGGGGCTTTTTCGCCCTTTGCCCGGGCTCCTCTCCCTCTGCACCTCCTCTGTTCCATGGCGGCTCAGCCAGCAGGTGCGTGGGTTGGGGCGGCCCCCGCCCCTGGCAGCGTTGGGAGCTGTGGGGGGCGTTTTGTCTGCGTTTCCAGGGTAGCCCCAAAGGCGAGTTGTTCCCACGTGCTTGTGAGCTCCGTGCTTCTCCTCCACGTGTCTGTTCGGACTTTGAGCTGTTACTTGGCCTTTATTTTATGATAATCGTGCGAACAGACGTCATGTTTTAGAGCAGTTCCAGGTTAGAGGCAAGACTGGTGCGGCCTCCCCCACGTCCCCCGACCCCACGCACGCCACGTCCCGGCCCACACCCACGTTGGCGCGCTGTGCCTGTCCTGTCGCACCCATGCCCGTGACGTCATGCGGAGGCCTTACTGCCTCGAGGGCCCCCTGTACTCCCCTCCATCCCTTGGCCCCACCCCACCCCGACCCAACCCCCGGTAGCCCCGACACGTCGACCGTCCCTGGAGCTCTGCCTCCGAGCTTGCTGCGTCTTGCGCATCTGTCCTGACACTGCGGGTTCCCGCTCGCTCCTGCGGGGCGGCTCCTGTGACTCCCCGGCTGGCTCTTCTCTCCGCACGTGGTCCCAACAGCCGGTCTGTACCCACCCTGTCATCTGGTGGTGACCCTACTGCCCGAGGGCACGCCTTCAGAGACGGCGAGAAGCAAGCCTGCCCCTCAGTCCAGGCCCTGGGAGGTGGTGGTGGGGTGTCCGGGACCTCGTGGGGCTGTGGCATCGGGGCCTCTTTCTTCCTCTGTGTGTGGGCCCGGGGTCTCCCTCCCGACACGTGGTCTGGCTCTGATCTCTCTCCGTTACCCTCTCAAAGCCGCAGCAGACCCGTGAGTGATGGGACATTTCAGCACGCTTTACCGGGTGCCTTCCCTGGCAGCTGGCGTCCTGTGTTCTTTGTGTGTCCCCCTGGGTTCCAGGTCACGGAGGACATGATCTGGTTAGTCTTTAATCATCTGCTGAAGAGTGAGGACAGGTCCCGTGCCGGAGTCCCCACAGCTGTCCCCTCAAACACCAGCACCATGGAGGTGCCACCAGCCACCAAAGGGGACTAGCTACGTGTCTGTCCCCCAGGAGCCACGCGTCGTGGCCCCATGCAGCACCTGGTAGGCTCTCTGTAGCTACCAAGGGATGGAGTGAGTGTCCTGGGCTCCTGGGCTGTGTCCACGGGGGGTAGGGGTGCTCTGCGAAGGGCGACTTCACTGGCTCTGGGGCGTGGTTCCCAGGCTCTGTTCGCCTGCCGCCGGCCCCTCACCTGTCCAGGGAGACCCAGTGCTGAGCCTGGATTTGCAACGAGGTGCTGTGGCGGGGGGCTGGGTCTGCGCTTTGGGAAGCGGTTGGGTCCTGGAGCCCGGGGGCTCAGGTGCAGATGTTCCTTGACTCCCGCCGCAGACATGCTCCTCGACCTCAGCGACCTGCTCCAGGTATCCCGGCTTCCCTCCTGAGCCCCTTTCCCACGGGGGGCGGGGCTGCACCCCTCAGCCCGGAGACCAGTCCTCAGAACAGAGGACACACCGGGTGGGGGGCCAGTAAACATGGGGTCACCGTGCTGTCCTGGGGGCCGGGCGGCCTTGGCCTCAGAAGCAGTGGAAAGACCCTGGAGAACTTGGTCCAGAGGGGAGGGAAATGCTTTAACAGAAAAACAAAGCACTGAAACGCATGTTTCTTCAGCAATATAAAAGCCCACACCGTAGTCTACTTAGGGACCCTGCGTGGGTACCAGGAAAGCATTTTCCGTTGCTTCCCTCGTTTCTGAACTACTGAAGATGATAGAAGGACCTAGCATGGGGGCCACCTGTGCGGACAGGACACTCACGGGGGCAGGGTCATCGAGGTTCTGCATCCTGTCCCTGGGGACAGCACTGGGGCCGGCGGGGGGATCACTCCACAGAGGGCTCAGAAAGAGCAGGGGGGCACGGAAAACAGACGTGATCACCGTGTGAGAGTGTGTGTGGGTCCCACAGAGATCCCATGCCTTTGAGGAAGGCTTGGTCAGGTGGGGGTGCCCCACACGCCACAGGGCCCTCGCGCTGACGGAGCTTGCCTTCTCCCCATGTGCGTGTATACACAGCATCTCTTGGGAGTCCTGCTGAAGCGGTCTGTGACCTGTCGGAATGGGGGGGCCAGCACTCCTCGCGCCGCGCCCCTTCCTGGGCTTTCCAGCAAGGTCGGAGGGAGGCTGGTGTGGGGCTCCCAAGGGCTGACACAGGCTCAGAAAGTGACACTGAGCACCCCCTAGGGGGATCTGGGGGGGTCTGACACCCCATGAACTTGTGGCTGGCACAGGGGCACTCGGCTGTCTTCGTGCAGAGCCCATCTGCCCGGTGGACAGGAGCGGGAAGACTGGCCAGCCACAGCCAGCCGTGACCAGCCGCCTCCACGGAGACGAGCCATAAACCCAGGGAGGGGTCCTCAGTGTCCGTGTCACTGTTTCTAACGCCTGCCGATGACCGTCAGCGTCTCCGGCAGCGACCCCGTGCACTGTCCAAGTGCGGCCTTGCAAACATTTGACTTTGCAGAAAGCCCTTCTCATCCAGGTCTCTGTCTGCCTGGGCCAGGGTCAGGGAGGTGGGAGTTGGGAAGGGGGCGGTGGGTCAGGGTGGTTCTGCTGTAGTGGGGAGGGGCAGGTGAGTGCCACCCTGATCCCAAGGGGCATGAGGCTAGGAGGGTGCAGGAGCTCGGGGTGCCGCCAGGAGACGCTTCCACACGCGCACACTCCGACACGCTTATTGCGTGTGCAACCTGGTGGGCAGGCTGGGGCAGACTCCTTTCAGAAGGCAAGCTCTGGGAGCCACCAGCCCTGTGAAGGGGGCTTGGAGAAGGCGGCCTGGGTGTGAAGTGCAGCGCCCCCAGCCCCTCCATCTTCTCCAGAGGACCTGGGACGGCCAGAGGCACCAGTCTGTGCTGCCTGGGAGCCCCTGACGGGCGCTCTTGACTCTTCTTTCTGGTCTTTTCTGGTAGCTTCCTGGGCACGAGGCTAAGGGGCCCTCATTCGGGAACTCACAGGCCAGCCTTGATGGGGCAGAGGAACTCTATGGGGAGACCAGCGGCAGGGGGCTGGGGCCAGGACACTGAGGCCTGCAAGTCGCGGGGGCAGGGGCAGGGGCCAGGCCTCTCTCCAGCTTGGGCTGAAGGGGCTAAGCCCAGGCCTTGCCCAACTGTGCACCACATCCACACGGAACAGCTTCTCCCATGCCTGCCATCAAACAGAAGCCCCTTACCCCCAGGCCCCCAGCCAGGCCTTCATGCGGCCTGGGACTGCCTGAAACCCCAGGCTGGCCATGCTGGTGGTCTGCACCCCGGAATCCTAGACCCCGTGTCCACCTGCCAGGAACCTGGCGGGGCAGTGGACTCCACAGCAGCTTTGGGCTTGATGGGAGCAGCTGGGGCAGGGGCAGCCCCTGAGACCTGCAGAGAGCCACGGCCAGGACGGAGCGGGTCCACAGGGACACAGACAAGGATCCCAACGAGGGGCTGAGGCCACGGCCCGCAGGGGCATGCAGGGGTGCATACTGATGTGAATTACACAGTGAACTCCGGGCGCGCACACCGCTCTCAGCGGTTTCTCTTAGCAAATGCAGTCACTGCGGAGACAGGGGTAGGGTCTGAAGACATTGTCTGGGATCGGGAAGCAGGGTGGGCGTGGGGACAGGGGCAGGCAGGAGCACCAGGAGCTCTGACGTGGGACCTGTCGTCGGACTGAACGGTGAAACGCGTGTTGTAGGGAACCGAGCAAACGTTTCAGAAACCCCGATGCCCTCCTCAGTTGTGGCCTCTTCCTCACAGGTGAACGTGTATGTGCTGGGGAAGACCTTCCTCCTCCTGGCAAGGGAGCTGTGCATCAACGCGCCGGCAATAGGTACGGCGGGGCTGGCAGGGGGGCCGCAGGCGGGCCGGAGCTCGGAGTGGGAGGGGGTCCTGTGCAGGGACCGGAGCTTTAGCAGGCAGTAAGGGAGATCTGAGAGGGAGCCGAGAGCCCGACAGCTTGGGGGTTACCTCTGGCTTGAATGCAGTGCGCCCATGGTCAGTCCCTGGCAGGTGTAGAGGAGGCCACAGAGGGAAACAGGCCCCATCTGTCCACTGTCTGGGGCAGGCAGGACCCCGATGGATGGAGTGGGGGCTTCCCTAGCCTGTTGCGGCTTTCCCGAGAGGAGCATTGTCAGTCACCAGTGGGGGCCTCTCCCCGTGCCACCCGCCATCCTCTACTCGTGGATCTCAAGGAACAGAGTGCAGCTGGGTGGGGGGTGGGCAGGGGGTGCAGGGTGGTCCCCTGGGGCTGGGAAGCCAGGGTCTGGCGGCGTGGGTCAGGAGAGGGACGTGGCTGCTTAGCTAGGCCAGGCTAGACCCCCTTCCAAGAGGCCACGTCCTTATGCCGAGCGACACGGTCCGCCCTCTGGGGGTCAAGCTGAGGTTTTTCAGAAACAGAGCAACTGTCCACAGAGTGTGTGTAGCCTGGGAGGACAGAGGCCAAGGGCCCAGAGAGCCTGTCTTACCCCGAAGCCTGCCTGCACGGGGCCGTCTGGGGCCTGCAGCCCGAGGCCGGCAGAGAGCCCCACCGCGCCCCACCACCCTCAGATCCAGTACGGCTTTGTCTGAGAGGCTGGGAGGCCTCAGGAGGCGCGAGGCAAGCGGACAGCCGGCCTCTTCCAGAGCATTCCAAGCCAGCCCCACAGCGGAAGCTGACAGACACACGCAGGGACAGGCGGCCCCCGGGAGGCAGTTTGTTTGGAACCAGGAAGCACGGCTTAGCTGTGGAGGCTTCTGTGTGTGCTGGAAGGGACACGCCGTTCACAGGCGTGCGGGAAAGCGTGTGTCTCCGCTTCCCAGTCCCTCGCTTGCTTCTTTCTTGGTGGTTCTTGTTTCGTGGAAACCATGTTACGGAAATGCAGTTAGATGTGGAGTTTTAGGTGACTTTTCCCAATTTTGGTTTGAAGGGAAGGTTTCGGGTTAAGCGTGGTACGGCCGCGAACTCACAGGGACGGGAGGGATGGCAGAGCCCACAAAGCAGGCGGTGTGGGCCCTGGGGGAGGGGCCTGTACGAAGCCTGCCTTGTGCCCCCGGGTCCGCCCAGCAGCCAGAACTCAGAACCCCCGGCCCTCGGCGTGCGGGAGAGCCTCTGGCTCCTGCTCTGGGCCGCCGCCGACCACAGACAAGAGAGATAGAAAGAAGCGAAGCCTTTAATGATGTCAGTAAGGCAGCCGGCGGGGCACAATGGGGTCGCAACATCCCCCGCACGTCCCTTCCCGGCGGGGCCAGCCGCAGAGAGAGGCCTCCTCCTGGTGCCCGACCTAGCACGGCCACGCCGCCCCTCAGCCCCTCAGGCGTAGAAGATGAGCTCGGGGATCTGCCCACCCTGCACCCCGGTCCCGTTGGTGCTGTCCGAGGAGCACTGGAACTGGAAGGTCACCTTGCCGCACTGTACTTCCGTCATGCCTTCCTGCCCGAAGTAGCTGAGCTCACTGCCGTCCAGGACGGCGCTGGCCGTGTAGAAGGTGTCCTGCTCCACCTGCACGGGGTGCTCGAACCACACCGGGAAGGTGCTGCTGGAGCCGTCCGACACGAACCTGGTCCGCTTCTGCGCCAGCACCAGCCCCAGCCGCTTGAGTTCGATCTTGACGCTGTACTCGGCTTTCCCGGCGCTGGAGCCGTACAGGCCCAGCCCCGCGACAAACACCCTCCTGTCCACGGCGAACTGGATGCTGTCGCAGCGCCCGCGGTAGCGCCACTGGTTGCTGCGGTAGGCGGAGGACTGGAAGCGGTGGCAGCGCTGCGGAGCCAGGCCCTTCCTCTTGGTCAGGGGGAAGCTGAGTGGGGGCTTGTTGGCCGCCGTGTACCACAGGAAGATGCTGTGGGTCTCCTCCAGGGTCAGGACGTCCGACTGCGCCGCGCCGTTGGCAAACTCCTCCAGGCTCATGGTGGGGATTCGGACCAGGTAGAGGGCGGGCCCCAAAACGTGCCTCTTGTTGCGCGCGGTGACCGGCAAGCCCTGTCTCTTGCACTCTGCCTCGGCCCAGTTGAGCACCGCCTCGAAGACCACCGCCTCCTTGGCGTTGAGGGCCTCCCGCGTCACGATGATTTCCAGCGTCTGCCAGTCGATCTCACAGAAGCCTTCAGACCGCAGAGCCATCTCGGCCTGCGCGTCGATGACCTCCCAGCAGCGCTGGGTCAGCTCCGGCTCCTCAAACAGCCGGCTCTGCGACAGCAGGACGCAGGCGTTTTTGGCTTCCAGACTCGTCTCCAGGAAGTGGACACAGGCTTTCGCTAGAGCCGGGACAATGTACTTCTTGGCAGCGTAGAGGGTGGCCAGCACCGTGTCGGCTTCCAGGTCAATCTCGTCGCTGTACATGTACCTGGGCGGGGAGCGCGGGCTGCGTCACAGGCTGCTCAAGGTGGCGGCGGCCGCTGGGGCCTGGCCCAGGGCAGCGGGAGCACCCCACGGCCCGGGCACCAGCGGCCGCCCCTCCCTGTGCCCCGGGCGGCGCGCTTACTTGAGCAAGATGAGGAAGGCCGCGGGCTCCACATCGGGGATGTGGATTTCCGACTTGACTTCGGCCAAGTCGCCGTAGAACATGGCATAGAAGACGGAGCTGCCCACGGCCAAGACGTACTGCGGAGGAGACCGGAGCTGCCCTGAGCCGCGTCCCGCCCCGCCCCGCCCCCGGCGGAGGCCTGGAAGCCGCGAACCACCTCCCCGCCCCCCGCCCCGGGCTGGGGAGGGCGCCCCGGGAAGGGCCCGGCGAGCCCTCACCTTGTGGGCGGGCACCCTGCGGGCCGCTCCCGGGGACCCCACGACGAAGTGCACGTCGGCCATGAGCTCGTTGTTGAACATGAGCGCGTTCCTGCAAAGGGCAGACGGGCGGGGGTCAGGCCGGGGCGGGGGCGCGGGGGTCAGGTCAGGCTGGGGCGGGGCGCGGGGGTCAGGTCAGGCCGGGGCGGGGCGCGGCCCGGCTCACCGCTCGCGCAGGGTCGGGTGCACTGACTGCCAGCTGGGGCTCTCCAAGTTGTTGTTGTCGGGCGCGGGCGGCGCGGGCGCGGGCGGCGGCGGGGCGGGCGGCGGGGCGCAGGGCGGGCCCTTCCTGCCCGCGGCGGCGGCGGCGTTGCTGTTGGCGATGTCCGTGGCGGTGGCGGCCGCGGCGCCGGCGGCCGGGTACAGCTCCGCGGCCATCTTCGCGGGCAGGGCGGCCTCCGTGCGCGCCGGCGGGGGACCGAGCGCCCGAGCGCCGCGCCGGGGCCGGGGGGGCGGCTCCGCGAGCACCAGGAGCGCCGTGAGGCACTGCGCCACCCGGCCGTGCAGGCAGGCCAGGGGCAGCAGCATGGGGCCGCCCCGCTCGCCCGCCCGCCGGCGCGCAGCCCGCAGCCCGCAGCCCGCAGCCCGCAGCCCGCAGCCCGCAGCCCGCAGCCCGCAGCCCGCAGCCCGCAGCCCGGCCGCAGGGGGCGCCGTCCCGGCCGCCCTCGCCCTGCCGCCCAGCGCCTGCGCGTCGGTCTGCGTCACGCCTCTCCGCCGCTCCTACCCCGCCGCGCGGACGACGTGCGCGCTCGCGGCTCGCGCCGCCCCGCCCCGCCCCTTCCCTCGCGCGGACGACGTGCGCGGCCCCGCCCCACCCCCTCGCGCCGCTTCCGCTGGCTGCGCGCAGACGCGCGTGAGTCTCGGTGCGGAGGGGGCCCCGGGAGCCCTCTCGGGAGGCGGGGGTGCGCGCGCCTAGTCGTGCCGCTCGTGTGCGCGCGCTGCCGTGGCCTCCAGGACTGCTCTCGTTCCCCGGGGGCCCTGTCGCCCGGCCGATCGCTCCCGGGGGGCTGCTGGGCACCCCGGCTGGACCTTCCCTTAACCCCCGTGGGCTCGCCGCGCTCCGCCTGCAGTGCGGTCTCGCGGGTTCCACCTTCACCCCAGGCGGGGGCAGAGAAGGAGCCCGAAGGTGAGGGGGTCGTGACCTGAGCCCAAGCCAGGCCCTTAGCGGAGGGAGTGCCCTCCCTGGCACCCCGGTCCTTGCTGGTCCGCTGAACCTTTGAGTTTGCAGCTTCCCGGACAGGTTGTCCTTGAAGGTCGCTGTTGAGAGGCGCCCGCCGAGCTCGTCTCTCTGTGGCCCGTCTGCGCTTGGGGCGCCTGAGGCAGAGCATCCTGGGAGGGCTCCCCGTGCGCGGTGTCTCCAGGATCTCCTGGCCGCCGGCCGGCTGCGGGGCACTGCCGGTGCCAGCCCACATGGGGCTTCCAGGGGCGGGAGCTCAGTCCCGTGGCCCCTGTGGATGTGGACTGATCGGCCCCCCGAAGGAGGGTGCTTGATGTTGGTGGACAGCAGGGTCCTGCCGGTCACCATCTGCCCCACACGCCTGCTTTCTGGCTGGCCTGTGGCCCCCTCAGGGAGCCCCCTCTTCAGGCCTCAGCAAGGACTTCCCGACGATCCCGCCCAGAGCAAGTCCGGCCCCTGATGTTCCAGCGGCCCCACATGATTCGGTCAGCACCCTCCCAGGGAGGGAGGGTGTGTGTGCGCGTGCGTGTGTGCGTGGGTCCCTCCTGAGCTTTCCCCTGCGCGGAGAAGTACGGCCACTTGAAGAGCTGCCCACGCACCTGCAGACGGCAGGGAGAAGCCTCGGCTTGAGTTCCAGATGGTGGACTCAGCTGGCGGGTCGGGGGCAAGCAGGCTCTGTCTCCGTCGCGACCCGTCAGGTGCCAGACACAGCAGCAAGGTGTCGCGGGTGCCCGTGCAGGCTTAGCGCCTGACCCCTGCGGCCGCTGTGGGAGGGACGGGGGCCACCAGCCCCGACCAAGGGTCGGGGAAGCCGTGCAGTTGGAGGAGCAGGACGGTCACCCCAAGGACGGGTATCCTGCTGGGTGGTGTTTGTGCGCCACCCAGAGCTGGAACACACATGTTCCACGGGGCCTGGGGGGGAGGGGACGCGCCCTGGGTGGCACTGAGGCGCCCATGTCTGCGGCAGATCCGTGCCTGTACATCCCGCGCTTTGCTCACCTGCTGGAGTTTGGGGAGAAGAATCACGAGGTGTCCATGACAGCCCTGAGGCTCCTGCAGCGGATGAAGAGAGACTGGATGCATACTGGCCGGCGCCCCTCGGGCCTCTGCGGGGCAGGTAGGACGGCCCAGGGTCAGGAGGCCTGGGGTCAGGAGAACCAGGTCCTCTCGCGTCTCCGTCGGGTGGGTAGGACGGCATGGGGTCAGCAGGACAGGCCCCCTCGGGTCTCTGTGGGGCTGGTAGCATGGCCCGGGGTCAGGAGAGCCAAGTCCCCTTGGGTCTTTGTGGCGCAAGTGGGACAGCCGGGCTCAGGAGGCCCAGGGTCAGGAGGGTCAGGCCACCTTGGGTTTCTGCCGGCAGGTAGGATGGCCCAGGGCAGGAGGCCCAGGCACCCTCAGGTCTCTGCAGGGCAGGTAGGATGGCCTGGGGTCAGGAGGGCCAGGCTCTGCTGGTTGTGGGGGTTACTGTCTCCAGAGCTATCCTGTCCCTTGAGGGCTCCCACGAGGCCAGCCCTGTCCCTGGTGCCAAGTCACTACTGTTGACTATCCCCGGCCTTTTGGGCTGGCTCCTTGGCCCCCCAAAGGGTAGCTGTTCGGTCTCCCTCTGTGTTCTCTAGCTCTGTCTCTGACGCCTTGGGGTCTGACGTAGCTCTTGGGCCTGGAGTCCTCCCTAGCAGGCCTTTATGCCTGTTTGGTGGCCTTTACTCCAGGACACCCCCCCCCCCCGGCTCCGGTCCTTCCTGGGATGCCGAGAGCCTGCGTTCCTGTGCTCCGCGGCACGTGGCCCACTCTGGGCCTCTCCCAGTCTGCCTGGCTGTGGCCGCCTCACGGGGCCGCTCCCTTTTCTCCCCAACCTGGGCCGTGTTCCCAGAGTCCTTATCTCTGTTGCCAACAGGTGCTTGTTGAGAGTCACCTCAGAGTTCGCTCACCAGCTTTAGGGGTCACACGAGGTTCTCAGGAGATGCGTTTTCGTTCTCTGTGTTTGAGACGGAAGGCGCGACGACGCACTTTCTGACTCCCCGCTGTGGCGTAGTTGCACACAAAGCAGCCTGTGGCTCTCGGGTGTGGGACCGTCACGAGCACTGGGCAACGGTCAGCCACCGTGAGCCCCCACAGGCCTCCCGGGCAGGACTTGCACCGCCGAGGTCACCACCCTGACCCGTCCCGAGGCCTGACCTCCCCCGTCCCTTGGCCTGTCATGCTTCTTTCCAGCACTTCTGGTTGCGGCCAGGATGCACGATTTCCGGAGAACCGTCAAAGAGGTCATCAGCGTGGTCAAGGTGTGTGAGTCCACGCTGCGCAAGAGGTAGGTGGCTCTCGGTCGTGGCCTGGGGTTCAGGCACCTGCTTTGTGTGCTGACCACACCTGCCTCTGCGGTCCTGCCGTCCACTGGTCTGGCCGGGACCCAGGACGGCCCGGGTCCTCGAGGGGCTGCCCGCCTCCCTCCAGGGTCTTGGTCTGTCTTCCTGGCCCCCACCAGCTGCGCCTGCAGTGGCCCTTCTGCCCACACCCCAAGGTAGGTTGGGGTGCACTGAGAGCCCCCCCAGGAAGCCCGGGTGTCCACAAGCCCCCACTTTGGGCTGCGGTGTTTGTGGGGTGGCCAAGCTCAGCGGCAACGTCGGCCGCGGGTGGGCTGGACGGGGTTGTCGGTAGCCCGATCACCGGCCCCTGTCGTCGTGGCCGTTTTCACTGTGAATGTGCCACATGCGAGGTGTTTCTCGTCTGAGAAACAGACGGCACTTTCTGAAGCAGTAAAGTATTTTGCACATTTGATGTCTAGTTCTCTTTGGAAGTTTTTTGCTGAGAAAAAATTGTTTATTCTTAGACGTCTCGCGGGTCGTAGGAGACGTGGGTAAGCTCTAGCGGGCGACTCCCTGGGGCTGCCGGCTTGGCCTCCTTGCGTCTGGGCCTTCTCTGGGTCTCCCCGTGGGAGCGACCAGCGTGCGTGGCCTTTCCTCCCCGGGGCCCCGCTGTTGGCCGCGGTGAGGAGGGCTCATAGCGGAGCGTGGCCGGGGCGCCAGGCGGCTCTCTCCAGGGGCCTTCTTGTTCCAGGCTGACGGAGTTTGAAGACACGCCAACGAGCCAGCTCACCGTGGACGAGTTCATGAAGATCGACCTGGAGGGGGAGTGCGACCCCCCCTCGTACACCGCCGGGCAGCGGAAGCTACGCATGAAGCAGGTGAGTGCCCCGCGCTGGCGGGCCGGGCCTGGGCTGTGCAGCACGCCGGCATCTCGCGGCGCTACCACGTCCTGTGTCCTGTTCTTACTTCAAAATGGGCCAGGTTGGGTCTGTGTCCCCACGGCATGCAGGGAGAGGTGGGCGGACAGGTGGGGTTAGGGGCTGAGCCGGGAGTGTGGGACATGGGGTGCCAGGTCCCTCGATGGCCCCCACATCTTCCCCACAGCCATCAGGGTCAGCCCCGGCTCTGCCCTGGGCGCTTTCCAGACAGTCCAGTTCCTCTGGCGTGGGAGTTGGCATGTGTCTGGGGGGCTGGGGACCCGAGCGCCATGAAGCTCGCCGCTCCCCCACATGGCCTCTTCGTCTCCACTGTTGTTTTAGCTCGAACAAGTCCTGTCCAAGAAACTGGAGGACGTCGAAGGTAACCCGCCCGCCTCACCGTGACAGGTGCCTGGGGCCCCTAGAGCAGTGGGTTTGAGCTCAGTGTGCGCGGTCGCCCCCTCCAGGTGAGATCTCCAGCTATCAGGACGCCATCGAGAGCGAGCTGGAGAACAGCCGGCCCAAGGCCAAGGGGGCCCTCGCCAGCCTGACCAGAGACGGTGAGCGCAGCTGCGTCCCCCACGGCCTCCAGGGCCAGCCCTGCTCACGTCACCCACGCCAGGCACTCCCTGCTGGCCAGCCTCTGGCCCTGTCTGCTGCTGCCCCGTCCAGGGCCGCAGGGCCCCCCTTTACAGGGTCCCAGCCCTGGACACCGCCTGACCCTGACATGCTGTGCTGGGTGTCCAGCTGCTCCCGGGACCTCTGTGCCCCCAGGTTCTAGCCTTCGGGGGAAACTGGTCCTCAGCACCCAGATCTTAATTCTGGACTGTCCTGCCCCTGCCCCCGGAGCCCCTTCCTGCCGCCTCCGGCGCCACGCCTGTACCGCCCCAGCGGCCTTGCGGTGTCCTCCTCCCCGTCGTGGCTCCCACATAGCAAGGGCATTGCAGAGCCGCTGTGTCCGTGCACGGGTCTCCACGCACACGGGGTCTTTCTTTCGCTCCTGGACGCTCCCACGTTGCCTTCCTGCCCAGTCCTCCAGGCCCCGTTGTGAAGCTCTGCGCGGGGCCCCGTTGTACGTCTCTCTGGTTCAGCAGGGCCTGGTGCTTACCACCCCTGCCTCGGACTGTCTGGAGGGCGGGTGCCGCTGCTCCCCGGCTCCCGCCCCAGCCCAGCGCCCTGTGGACCCACTCCCAAGAGTGGACATCTCCCGCCCCGTGGGTGTTCCTGAACCGCTCTCTGGGCCAGGCCACCCGCCCGGTGCTGCTGCCCTGAGTAGTGTCCTTCCCCATCTTCTGCTGCTGCCAGATGTGGAAGCCCCAGGTTTCCAGGTCAGCTTCTGTGGGCTCGTGGGTCGGAATTCTGTGTCCACCCTCACTGCTGCATGCTCCGCCACGGGTTTTCCACGTGAGTGACCGTGCCTTCTGCAAAGACCGCTGCTTTGTGCTCACCACCGACGTCCGGTCTTCTACATCTCCCGACGCCCGGGCCGTGGCCTGGCCTTTCAGCCCCTGCTGAGTGGCAGTGGTGGCCACGGGCATGTGGCCCAGGTGCCGCCCAGGACATGGTGCTGGCTTGGGGCTGGGTGCCACCTTGTCCTGAGAGGGCCGTGCCCACGCACGGTTTTCGCTGGTTGTTGTCTGGGCCATCGGTGAGCGCTTCGACATTTGTGGGACCTGTGCAGAGCATGTAGGGTTTCCTGGGCTCAGTGCGACCTGCCCCCCCAGGGATGCCCCGGCCGGGTGGCCCCACAGTCTGTGCGTTTGCTGGTCTGTGGTTGGGGACACCCATGAGCCCCTGCGTCCCCCAGGGCGTTGCTAGCTCTTCTGGTCCTCACTCTGCCCGGTGACGCCTTGAGGACGGAGGTGGCCAGTGTCCGCTTGCCCGTGTGGCGACTGCCGTGCTCTGACAGGGGGCGTGTGTGCGGCGTGTGACTCTGTGGTGCCCCAGCCGGGAGCTTTTGTCCTCTAGTAGTCGGAGCCCATCCCCAGCGCGCCCGTGACTCGGGCGGGGTTCTCTGCACCTGGGGAGGCCTGGCTCTGCACCCGTGGTTTTCTTTCTGCCGTTTCCTGCACAGCACCTGTGTGCGCTGCCCCAGCGTGAGGAAGCCGGCCGGCAGTCGGCCACCAGCAGGCCCCCCCACCTCCTGCCCCAGGCTCAGCTTCTCACAGCTGTTCTGACGGGAACGTCGGGGGCGCTCCCTCTTCCCTGCTCCCCACGTCTGCTTTCCTGTGTCATGGGGTGGGAGACATTTCATGTTCTGTCTGGACTGAGCCCGAAGCTAGGTGGGGTCATCCAGCGGTGATGGGACCCAGGGGGCCTGCGTGCCACCCTCCTGCCCAGCTCCCAGGCTCCCTGCCCAGCCCCCAGCTGCCACGCAGTGCTGAAGGGACTGGCCAGGGCAGGCAACATTTGGGGAGAGGCCTGGGGAAGGAAGGGAGCCCTGTAGCGGCGCGGGGGAAGCTGCTGCTTACGTGGGGTGCGGTTGGGTTGTGGAGGTCCCGAGCGGAGGCCGAGGGATGACTCCGTCTAACTCAGGCTGAGGGGCCGGGGGCTGGGAGCAAGGAGGCCAGTGGGGAGGCCTGACTCTGCCGGTGCTCCCGAGGCCCAGCCTGTGGGACGGGGGTGCAGACGTGCAGGGTGCAGGGGCGCCCAGACATTGGGGTAGGGGCGCGGCAGGGTGCCGGGAAGGATCATCGCCCGCGCGACTTTCCTGTGCACGAGGAATTGGACGGCTTTTTGCCCGCAGAGAAAAGGTGACAGAGACGCGACGTGCCGCGGGAGGCTCCGTGCTTACCGGGAGCTCTCACGTTGGAAAGCGGGGGGAGGCGTTCTGGGGCGGACGTCCTGCACGATAATCGCCGTGTTGGGCAACGTTCACAAATTTCGTTCGGCAAAGCGGGACGCAAAGATGCAGCCCCGTGCTGAGTCTCCGCCCCGGGGTCCATCGTGCTTTCTGGAGTTCTGTGTCCACGGACGGCGCGGCATGTCTTGACTGCCCTGCGGCCCCGTTGTGGCGGACGGAAGCTATCCTGTCCACATGCGGGAGAGGTGGCCGGTCGAGCACATGCGGGGCGATTCTGGGTTTGGGTCGTCGCACACGTGGTGCTGGGAACGTTTGTGTGCAGGCGTCGTGTGGATGTGCACGTGGTCGTGACCGGGGCGCACCGAGCTGCGGACTTGCTGGGTCGGCTGCAGGGCACAGGCCCGGGTCTCGGAGAAGCCGCCCGCCGTCTGCCCGCAGCCGCGCCCTGTGCCTCGGTTGGTCGTGTGTTCTCCTGGCGCGGAGCCCTGGGCGCTCCTGGCGTGCTGCGGACACGCACTCACGGGAGGGCAGAGCTCCCTAGTCTGCCGCGGCCCTGCGGGCGCGTGTGGGGCTGCCTGACCCTGTCCCACCCGGACGTTTTGCCCGATTCAAAGCTGCGCACGTTTTCCGTCGTCGATTCCTGAAGCGTTGGTGCTCTTAGCCGTCGTGTCCGTTTTGAGGGACTTTCTGTGCAGCGTCAGGTGTGTAGGCCCCGAGGGCTCCCCGCGGGCACCTGGACGTGGGGCCGCCTCCCAGCGACACGCTGCCCGCCTCTTGACGCAGTGGAGCGAGTGCCTCCTACCTCTGGACGGTCGCGTCTGCCGGCGTGGGGCGGGGGGGGGTGGCTCCTGCAGGGTTCACAGGGTGTGTGGTGTTGCGTCCGTAGGCTCCGTGGAGGACTCCGCGTCCAGCTTGTTTGGTGAGGAGGACCCCGAGGACGAGGAGCTGCAGGCCGCCGCCAGCCACCTCAACAAGGACTTCTACCAGGAGCTGCTCGGCGCCGGCGTCTCTTCCAGTTCTGGGGACGCAGGAGGCCCCGAGGGGGACAGCCGACCCCCGGCCCTGGAGTCCCTGCTCGGCCCCCTGCCCACGGCGGCCAGCCTGGGCATCTCAGACTCTATCCGAGAGTGCATCTCCTCCCAGAGCCAGGAGCCCAGTGAGTGCCCGGGAGGCCCAGGGAGGGGCGGATGGGGACAGGGTGGGATGGGGGCTGTGGCCGCGGGCTCTGGGTCCAGGTCACCCCGCCCCATCTGTGGGGGGAGAGGTGCCGCCGGATGTGGCCTCACGGAGGGCGGGCTGGGAGGGTTCTGCCAGGTCCCCCGTGCCGGGCGGAGTGGGCCGTCGACCCCAGCGCGTGAGGACAGCCTGCATACCAGCAGGGCTTGCCACTGCCCCCAGACCCCTCCTGTGCTGGCCCCCTGGCTCAGGGCTGGGCCAGAGCCGTGTGCTTGGTTGGGTGGTGGCTGCAGGCTCCTTCCTGCCTGTCCTTCTGCGTCTCTCTGAGCTGACCACCTGGTGGTCAGAGGGTGCCCCAACTGCTGGGCTTGGGGCTTGTGCTGTTGACCCGGGGGGATGGGGGGTGGCCAGCAGCGTTTGGGATTGTCCCGAGTTCATCACCGAGGACTGGCTGAGGGCCCGTCTCCTGGACCGGTGAGCAGAGAGCCAGACGAGCCACGCTTCCGCGCTGAAGGTGCCGGTGTCGTAGGGAGCGGACCTGGAGGTCTGCTGGGGCTAGTGTAGTGTCCTTTCCGCACGCAGCCCTGGGCTGTGAGCCAGGCAGTGGCACACGGAGGGGACTGGGCTTGCCGGTGACGAGGGGGCTGTGGTCAGCCTTTGGCCAGAGCCGAGGTCCCAGAGGAGGTGGCTCCTATCCTGGAAGGGGTCCTGAGACGGCCCCAGGGACGTCTGCGCTTGCTCAGCAGAAGCTGACTAGGCAGACGCCGCGGCCCTGTGCTTCCCTGTAGCCGGAGCGCGTGGGGACGGCGAGCTGGACCTCAGCGGCATCGACGACCTGGAGATTGACAGGGTGAGCTCCACTGAACTCTGCACGGTCGGGGCCTCAGGCTGCCGCCCCACAGGCCCTCCCGTGCGCGGGGCACCTTCCTCGCGGCCACATGGCCCTGGAACCCGTGTCCGCCCACTCTGTGCCTGCGGGCCGGTGTGTGGACCCAGCCCCGCTCCCGGCCTCAGCAGGGGTTGGGGGGGGACGGGCGTCGCTGACCGGCTCCCAGTAAGGAGCCTGTGGCCCGCGGGTCAGGGCCCGCCCTTGACCGGCTCGTCCGTGGGGAGCGTGTTGGCAGCGAGGCCTGAGTGTGGCTCTCTGCTCTGCTCTGCCCAGTACATCCTGAACGAGGCGGAAGCCCGCGTGAAGGCTGAGCTGTGGATGCGGGAGAATGCGGAGTACCTGCGCGAGCAGAGGGGTAAGCACCTGCCCGCCCGCCCGGGGGCCGGGGCCGCGGGGCCCCTGCTCATCCTGCCGTGGGGGACTTTTCAGAGAAGGAGGCGAGAATCGCGAAGGAAAAGGAGCTGGGGATCTACAAGGAGCACAAGGTGAGGCTCGTTTGGCCCGTGGAGACCCGCCTTGCCCCTCCCCGGGTCACACGAGGTCTCCCAGGGCGGCGGCTCCGGCCACCCGGTCCTGCACGGTGCTGGCCTCTCCTCAGACAGACGCACCCTCAGCTTTGGGGAGGTTCTTAGGCTGAGTCGGGGCGTCGGGACCCCCACTGAGGGCCCTGCCCCAGCTCTGGGATCCCCCCTCTGGGCCCTGGGAAAGCCTGCTTGTCGCCCGTGTCCTGCGGGTGGTCACAGAGACGTGGCTTGCTGCTTCTGTGTGGCCGGACAGGGACTCTGGCCGTGAGGGTGTGGTCAAGCCCCCGAGCAAGAAAGGCAGGAGCTAGGCATGTGCCCAGCGTGGGTCGCTGGTCTGCTTGAGAACCTTTCCGGGGGGTGGGCCTGCAGCCTGGGGTCTGGGCTCGAGGCCCCTAGTAGCGTGGTCAGCAGGCAGGTGGGCAGGGGAGGAGCTGGCAGGAGGCACAGTGCAGGCTCCTGTAGGTGGCACACACCCAGGACAAGGTCTCCCCACGCTGGGTGATCTGTCCAGAGCACGGCACCTCGCTCTGCCTTGTTCAGGTGGCGACAGTGTCCGGCACAGCCAGGTGTCCATGATGGGCTTGTGGGCAGCTCCCAGTGCCGCTGCGGGTGACCCCTCCCGAGAGGCCTCACACCCTGAGCCCTGCCATCAGCTCCGCAGCTGAGGGATGTGGGCTGGCCTCCCCCTTCTGAGAGGAGGAGGTCGGAGCCGTTCCTTGGGGGGCCTGGGCCAGCGCCCTGTACACCTGGGCTTCTGGGGGTGGGGCTCCCCAGCAGATGCTGGCTGCCCGGCCCCTCCCCCTCGGGGTCTAGCTGGCAGGGCCCCCACCTCGCCCGAGACACCTAGCAGGTCCCCAGGGGGCGGCAACTCCCCTGTTTCTGTTGAGCCCAAGAAGTCTTGTAAGCGACGGGAGCCCATCCAGGCCAGCACAGCTGGGGAGGCCATCGAAAAGATGTTGGAGCAGAAGAAAATCTCCAGCAAGATCAACTACAGCGTGCTCCAGGACCTCAACAGCAAGGGCGGGGGCAGCCTGCGTGGGGGCGACGCGCAGCCCCAGGAGCGGGCCGGCGCCCGGAAGCTGTCTCGGAGGAAGACGCCCGCTGGCAGGAGCGGGGCTGACCCCGTGAGCAGCGTGGGGAAGAGGTACTGTGCTGGGTGCGGGCAGGAGGCCTGGGGGGGGGTGCGTTCCCCACCTGGATGCTGGGAGCAGACGTCTGGGTCCCATGCCGCACCTGCGGCCCTGGCCGGCCCGTTTCTGTGGGGGGGGCGGGTGGCTGGGGGGGGGTCCTACCCTGCAGGCTGTGATCTGTCTCTGGGCGGAGCGAGCCAGCCTCTTTCCCCGGAGGGTGTGGAGTGGGGAGAGTAGAGCCTCCCTGTTGGCCTCTCCTCCCGCTGTAGGGAGGACCAGGACCCAGGGCGGCCCAGGGGAGGCATCTCCCGCTGCAGCCACTCCCTGCCGTCCCCACACCCTGCTGCTGAAGCAGACCTCCCAGAACCTTGACCAGCAGCAGCTGGGCGGCAGCCTGGAGAGCCCCGGGCAGTACAATTTTAGGTCACGTTTTAAAAAAACTTACTTTAGGGAGGCAGGGAGAGAGAGCTCACAGAAGCGTGAGTGGGGGGAGAACAGAGGGGAGGAGACGGGAGGGAAGGACTCAGGTGCAGCAGAGCACGGGGCTAATCCCTCAGCCCTGGGCCTTTCGGCCAAGAGTCGGACGCTCCCCACGTTGAGCCCCTGGTGCCCCCGATTTTAGGTTCTTACTCGTCAAATGACAAACGAACATCAGATCTGCCCAGGGCTATGTGCCATCGACCGGCATAGCTTTTGAGCTAAAATCTGGCTTTGTTACCAACATTAAAAAGGAAATTTTCACAGAAAAACCCTGATTTCCGGTTTCCGGCAACCGCCCCGGTCCCACCCCCACTCCCAGTACTGTGCCGTGGCCCCACGGGGGGTGGTACTCAGGCTTGGTATCACTTGGCCCATGGGGTGGCGACTTGGGGCCCATCGTGCTGTCAGGAGGGGACAGGTGCAGTCACTCACGCACTTCTGTGTGGCACGTATGTGGGGCGTGTGTGCATATAGGATACGCCCTAGCAGAGGGGGCACGGGGTGGGCGTGAGCCCCAGCAAAGGGGGCAGAATGCCGACTGGGCCGGGACAGGTGAGGAGTGTGAGGCCGGGAGGCTCCGCTGGGAGGAGCGACATCAGGGTGAGTGCTGAGGAGGGGGTCCGGCTTCTGGGTGTGGGGTCTGGGGGAGCAGAGTTGGAGGAGGGGGGCCTCATCCTCACCCTAGGGCTGGGCACTCAGTGGCCAGTGCCACCGCCAGAGACGCCGCCCCTTAGCAGGCCCCTTGTTGTCCCCCGACCCATAGCTGTAGCCTGGACTGAGGCCGCCACGCTGTGCTCTCTTTCAGGTTGAGGCCGATGGTGTCCGCCCAGCCGGCCAAGAAGGCAGCTGTGGGGGAGGTACGTTGTGTGGCCACAGCCCGGGGCAGGGGCCTGGGGACTGTGTCTGTGAGCCACTGAGCAGTCGGCCCGTGGCAGGGAGGGAGCGTGGGCTCTCCTGGCCCATGCACCGTGGTCCTGAGGCCCACGGGTGGCAGGGGAGTGGGCCTGAGCACCCCAGCCACATACTGTGGGGCTGGGCCACATCCTCTGGGCAAGGCCCATGGCCTTGAAACGGAAGCCTCATCGGGGCTCGTGAGTGTGGACGGGCTGGATGGAGGGGCTGCCTGGGAGCTGTGGGGGCTCCGAAGGCTGGGAAGCGTCCAGGACACAGGATGGGCCAGTGGGCCCTGGGAGCCCAGGCTGGCGCTGTGACGCCCGTCCCCCGGGGCAGGCGGCCTCCCACAGCCTGTGCCCCGGTTGCAGACCTTGCTCCCAAGCTCGCCCAGCCTGGGAGCCGAGCCCATCAGGCCCACAGCGGTGGTGGAGAGTGGGCCTGTGTCCTACCCGCCCGAGGAGGACCCCGACGAGGAGGACCCCGACGAGGAGGACGGGGAGCCCTGCGTCAGCGCCCTGCAGATGATGGGCAGCAGTGGTGAGGGGGCCCTGCAGGCGGGATGGGGATGACAGGCCCGGGTGGGAGCGGGGGTTACTTCCTAGAAGGAGGCACGGATCCTCTGCTCCTGACTAGCCCTAAACTCAGAGCTCTCGGCTTTGAACGAGACCTTCTCTTACTCCGGACGGAGGTTGGGACCAAGACTCAGATCGGTGCGTCCATGTGGGGAGCCCGAGCGCTGTGAAGGCCGTGGGCTCCAGTTTGCAGGGGTCTGCCTGGCCAGCGAGAGCCAGGCCCCAGGGCCTTGGGGAGGTGAAGACAGCATGGGCAGAGGGGGCCTGAGCCCCTCCAGGAGGGGCCGCCCAGGTGGGCCCCGCCCCAGGGTGTTCATGGCTCTCCTCTGTGCCCCACAGATTATGGCTGTGATGGCGAGGAAGATGATGGCTACTGAGCCGCAGCCCTGCAGCCTCACCATAGCGGCTCCGCACCTCCGTGGCACTTGCCAGGATCCCGTCTGGAGCGCCGTGAGGGGCGTTTGCCCGGCAAGGGGACTGGGCCGGTGTCTGCGCGTCTGGTCCGATGTGGGTCTTATGGCCCAGGAACCTTGGCAGGCGGCACCTGTCCTGCCCCACGGGAGGACACTGAGGCATGAGGAGGCCCACTCTGGGAAGTGAGTGCTGGACGAGGGGGCTGCCCCTGCGGAGCTAGGTGCCTCGCCCCCGCCCCTCCCCGGGCTGAGAAGTGCCGCACCCAGCCTTCCCGCCCCGGTGTCTCCAGCCTGACCGGCCTCTCCTGCGCCGGGCGTCGCCCAGCCGCCGGTGACCTGAGTCAGCAGTGCTCTCCGCAGATGAGGGACCGTCGGGTGCCCAGCGGCCGTGGGGGTGCCCTGTGCAGCCTGTGAGGCTGGCCTGACCCTGCCCCGAGCTGGAGTCAGGAGAGCGGGGTCTTGCTGGAGCGGGGCCTGGCTCGGGGTCTGTAGACGGATGGCAGGCGGAGCGTCCTGGCCGTACCACTACCCTCCCCTCCAGCTAGGGGCCCAGCCCCGCCACTTGAAGGCCCAGGGACCACTCTGAGGGCCGCAGTGTGGACATCGCTGCGCTGGACATGGCCAGGGAGGCAGGGCAGGAACTCTTGTCCCTCGAGGCCACGGCCTCGGCCCCCCTGACGGCAGCCAAGCCAGGCCATGTCACCTCCCCACGGCTTAGCCCTCTGTGTCCAGGCCGGAGTGTGGCCAAGTCTGTGGGCAGGGAATCTCGAGGTCCTTGGCTGCACCCGTCCTGGGCCCCAGAGAGCCGGAGAGGGCTGTGCGGTCGGCGGGACAGGAAGACCTACCAGAGCAGACACCCGCCGAGGCTGTGGCCTGTGCTGCCCCACCGGGCTCTGCGGCCGGCCCTGGAGGAGGGAGGCCACAGCAGGGCACCCGGCCCATGGGGGTGGGAGAGGCACACAGCAGGCCCTGGCCCTGTTGTCAGAAGGACGGTGGGGACGTGGCTCGCGCTTCATCCTCACCCCCTCACATCCACCCCGTAAGCAGTGTCTGAGCCTGTGCGTGGCGTGGGCTGTCCTGGCCGGGGCCCCTTGTGGGAGGGAGGGCTGGGATGCAGCGGCTCTTCAGGGAGCCTCGGGCACTGGCCGTCTGGCTCTGGGGTGTTCGCTGTGATTCAGGAGCAGAGGGTGGTGGGCCCACAGGACCCCCATGTGGAGGGCTAGCTGTGGCTTTGGAGGTGACCGGGTCGCCTTCTGGGACCCGGGGCCGCCGGTGCAGCATGGTGTACGTGGCAGGCTTTGAGACAGGGCTCAGCGAGGGGGAGGCGCCTCCGCGGGGAGCCAGGGCCAGAGCGGGTTTCCGGGCAGAGGCTAGTGGGAGAGCCGCACTTGCAAGGCAGGGGAGGGAGGGGATCCCACGGGGCGTTGGCAGAGGGGAACGGGACTTGAGAGAAGAGGCAGGCGCTCAGGGTGGCCGGCGGGGCCAAGGCCCAGAGGTGAGGGAACTTAATGGGGAGGAGGCCCGGGGAGGCTGGATGGGCAGGTGGGGCTCTTGGCACATGAGGTTTGGGGGCAGATGGCAGCGAGCGGGAGTCTGGCTGAAGCAGGAAGGGTCAGGTTCCTGCATAGCTTGGAGGTGGGTCAGGGAAGAAGGGCTGGTGGAAAGGACTGTCCCCTGAGAGGGTGTGGTGTGGAGGGTCATGTGGGTGGGAGGGCATGTGGGGTATTCATGCTTGGGTGGGGGTCAAGGTGCTGGTCATGGGTGAGGCGCAGGCTAGCAGCTGGTAGGATCCCTCTGGGCTGTGGCCCCGTACCCTGTGTGCCGGCCACCACGGCCACATGTGTGGGCTTGAGGGGGACATGCAGGCCTGTCTGCACCTGTCCCACATCTGCGGTTACGGGCTGCAGCGGCTGGGACAGGACCTCAGGCCCCCACTTCACCACCTGCTGGCCTGTGTTCTTGCAGGGTGGGCGGCAGGAAGGGGCACCCTAGAGGCTCAGAGAGCCTGGGCGCCCGGGCCAGGGAGAGGGCCAGGGCCTTTGGGAGCACTTGGTCCAGGGTCCAAGGGTCAGCGTCCCTGAGATGCTCCGAGGGCCAGGGGCCTGACTCAGGCCGGGTCCAGCCCCGAGGAGGAGCACCGGCCAGCGGCCGGAGCACACGTCACCCCCGCAGCATGCCATTGCCTGCGGGTGAGGCAGCTTCCAGCATGGGCTCCGCGGCCCTCCCTGCGGGCGGGATGCGTGTGGACCGCCTGCCGGCTTGGACAGCACCACGGGAGGCCAAAGGGCACAGGCGCTGTCATGGAGGGGGCCTCCCTGGGCCGCATCCTGACAGCCATCCCCCTCCTGGGTGCCAGGGCCTGGCCGGCGACCACAGGCTTGTCCTGAGAAGGGCACATGGCTTTCCACTACCTCACGGCAGAGCCAGGGGAGGTGGTGAGGAGGTTCTGAGAGCCCTGGACGCCTGTCTGTGCTGACCGTCTGGGAGCCCATGTCCACCCACTAGCATGCACGTGCCCATCCCTGAGCCTGCGGAGCTGGAACCTGAGGCCAGCACGCAAGCAAGGCTGGGATTCCTGTGTGGGGGCCCCAGGCAGCAAGCAGTCACGTCCAGCCCCGTTGGCCAGCGGGTCCCCTCCCCAGTGTCATGTAGGGAGGGCTTGAGTGATGGTGGAACGGGATGGACGAGCCAGCGCCAGCCTGGGCGGAGGGCAGTGTGCAAGGACACACCTGTCCCCGCGCAGCCATGCACGCCCCCACGTGTGCCACCCTCGCGCTTGTGTGTGCCGCTCCCTGCGTGCGCACACGTGCGTTCACACACACCTGTCTGCGGCCACCGGACCCCTCCTTTCTGGGCGCCAGGCCCCAGCAGGCAGGTGAGCTGCAGTGGGGGCTATGGCCAGATGGGGCCTGCTCCCCAGAGAGGAGGGTCACCTAAGACCCAGGGCTCGTGTCTGTGTGTAGCACCCGCTGGTCGCCTATCCTGCCCCGAGCTGTGGGGCCTATACCCTCCCATCCCCCAAGCCCTGGGGTTGGAACCACAGTTACCCTCTGACAGGGCTGCAGCGGGCGGGTGGGCCATGGCTCCTCCGAAGATGGGGCAGGTCTGCAGCTGCACCCAGCCCGCCAGCACGCTGGCTAGTGCCTCCTCGGCCGTTCCGGGCTGTCCCAGGCAGGCAGCGGGCCCTGGAGGGCGGGGAGAGGTGGGCAGGGGGGAGGCTGGGAGGAGTGCTCTCTGCGTCCACCTCTCCAGAGCTGTCCCTGGTGAGTGACATCTGTCCAGTGGCTCTAAAAGCCCACCCTCCCACACCTGCCCGGCCTGCTGGCCACTGTCACCAGTAACCATGGGCACACCAGCCTGCTCATTCCCCAGCCTTGTGTGTACTGGACCCACACAGCCCGCCCCCAACGAGGTGCCCTCCTCCTGTCCCACGGTGGCTTCCGGCTGGGTCAGGGCCCCGAGCAAGAGGCGGGACTGGTGGCCATCCATGGGTACCAGCACCGCCCGACGGCAGTGAGCTCTGGGGAGAAGGGGCAGGGGTTGGGCATCCCTCAGGGACTGAGGTCCCCGGGGCAGTGTCTGCTCTGTCCGGGGCTGCCTCCAATGCATCCGGCTCAGGGAACCCAGCGGGAGCCCCATGGGGTCTGCTGGGGTGAGCACCTCCCCTTGGCCGTCCCGGAACTGGGCAGCAACACCTCTGTCTGCCGCCTGCTCTTCCCAGGGTCACAGTGTCCCCCTCCGTCCACCTCTGGGCGGCTGCAGCCCTGACAGACTGCGTGGTGGGGAGGCGCAGGCAGGTCCGAGGCCGGCAGTGCGGGGTGGCCGTTGTGGGTATGGGTGCCCAGTCCTTTGTTGATGCAGCTGGGGCCTAGGAAGAGTGTCGGGCGCCTGGGCAGCCCAAGGCTGCGGACAGTCCAGCCGGGCTCTCAGGGACTCAAACTGCAGACCACACATGTAACCGCTAGGGGGACAGGGTGCCCAGCCATCTGTCCTGGCCCTGGGCACTTTGCTCAGCTTCCCTGCCCCCTGGCGGCCACTTGGGCACCGTTGGGCGCCACCCTTGGGAACGCTGTATTCCCCGAATAATAAAGACTAGAATACTCAAAGTGGGTGTGCGGTCCTTGTGCACAACGTGTCAAGGCCACCAACATGTCGTTGGAGGGCCTGCCTGGCTGGGCTCCCACCACACACAGGCATCAAAGGCTCACCATCTCATACAATGGCCCTGTCCCCTAACTGGGTCTGAGGACCCCCTTGCCCAATAAGGCAGCAAAGACTGGCCCGGAGAAAAAGTGACCCGAGCCCCTAGCCCTGGGGGTTTAGTGGGAACCTCCTCGCAGCCCCAGACCTGCTGCTTCCCGGACCCTGACCGCCCCTGTACTGTGGGTACCGTGGGCACCGTGGGCACCATGGGCAGTCAGCCTGCAGCCCACTGGATGCTGCACCTCAGCTGCCTATGGTCCTAGACAGCCCCAGATTGTGGCCCCCTTCTCTCCGCCTCCATCCTGCAGCAGGGGTGCCCCAGGACCAGCCAGGCTGGGGGGGTTGGGACGTTGTGCTTGTCCTCTGTCCTGCAGGAGGACCGCTGGCCCTTCCTGTGGCCCCCACCCCAGCTCCAGCACCAAGAGCCTGCCCATGCCCAGGCCCCATGCTGTCTTCAGCAGGACACACACACCCCCCACCCCCACCTGCAGCCTGGCCCCAGGGGGACACCAGAGGGGCTGATCGGCTCCAGCGGGGAGGGCTCTTGAGTCGGGGCTTCCAAGCTTTGTGTGTGGCCGGCCGATTAGTGCCTCTGTCGGCTGCTCCCTGGGGAGGCTTGGGCCCCAGCCAGGCGGGCAAGGGGGAGGGGCCAAGGGACAGGCTCCAGAGCTGCAGGCCCTTCAAAGGGTCGTGGGTGGTGGCAATGGCGTGGGGCTCTAAGGCTTTCCTGCCAGCAGAGGAACTGGGCTCAGGAAGCCATTGTCCCCATACAATGGACCCGGCTGGGACCTGTGAGGGCAGGGGCTCCAGACTGGTGGAACCTGACCTTGACCCTGATCTACCACCGATAGTCCTCAGCACTGTCTCACGGCCACTGTGGCCAGCCCTGGCCAGGAAAGTGGACAGCTGCTCCCATCCGAGGACTAGTGCACCAGGGAAGGGGTGATGGGTGGCGAGCACTCGTGGAGCAAACCGGGGTGGGGGGGCTGTGGAGGAGGCACCCACCAGCCCTGATCAGCTCGTGGGTGGGCAGGGAGGGACAAGTCCCCTTCCACCACAGGGAACAAACTGCTGAGGCCTTGGGGACTCAG